CTTAAAGTTATAAGCGTAGTTTATCCTGTAATGAGATGACTGAATAACTGATAAAATAAATATAAAACGCACTCTATATCTGATCATTTTTGGCGAACGCATTTGGTGCGGCTTTTCACACGATGCATCGGTCACGAAACAATGTGATGTTTTGTTTCTTGAAAATATCTAGAGTGAAATCTATCTGAGCCCTGGGAAAAGAAGGTTATGCGAAAACTACGCTAATCTATTGGAAATAATCTGCATTGATTTAGACAGAAATCGTCGTTGGTATTATCGCTAAAAATGCAAATGCCATAACATTTTTCATTTTATGTAAATATAAATATCTATATGTGTTAGTGCAATCGCCAAATGTTAAATCTAAAAATATCTGCTAAGATTTTTCCTTAACCGAGATGTGTCAGACTCCGTTTTAGCTTGTTCCGCTGTAAAACAGCGTTATGTGTGTGTAGTCACTGAACAAGTGGAATATTTGATGAACTTTATTCCAGTATTTTGAACATATTGATGCATTATTATATTGATTGTCAACAATGCTTTGCCGCACATTTTTTCCATTTTTGATAAGATCTTAAACTGATCTAAAAACTGAGACTGCAAAATGGAATTGCGTGACTGAAATACCTAATTTCTAGCATTATATTTTTGTGAAGTAATCCCAAAAATGTGAATCGAGATAGGAGGATAAAATCGTAACACTGGCGTAGAAAGCGTAACATTATTTCTTATCCACCTACGATAAACACATTACACTTCATTTCTTGGGCAGTATGTCGTAATTCTGACTGCCAAAACTAACCTTCGAAATACAACCCGGTACTTTACCGAATATCGTCCTTGGTGCAACATTGTTGAATACTGCCTCGGCTTCCAATCAGTTTTTTGTGAACAGATTTGTGAACTCTAGGTTCTTGCAATAGTATGTATACATATTTAATGTTTTTCCTGACTAAAAAATTATAAAAATTGGTTGCAAAATACTGATATCGATTATAATACCAACAAGGATATATTTGCAACTTTGTCATGATAGCCATATTTGCAAACTATTCATACCGGGTTTTTAATCGAAAGACAGTTTGGATAGTCGGACTTGAAATAGAAGTATTAAGACATAAAATCGACAACACGCCTGCCAAGACATGAGGTAAAATGTATATTATTTTATGTAGATATGGAATAATGTTATGATTTCCACCACACCAGTATTATAATATCCCTATATCTTCAGGTCAATTTATATATATGAACTCATATTAACTTAGCACACTTAAAACTAAATTTTTTTTTGAAAGGATAGAATAATTTGGGTACTGGCTTGAACTTTACATTTGCCGATTCATCGATATATATATGCTGGGGATAATATGTACTGGGATAAATAAAAAAATGACATAACTTTGGAGGAATAAACTACAAATTGATCTAGCAGGATATATAAGTACTATTTTTTTACAAAGATATTATAACAGAGTGAATAATCTGTAGGTATCTGAACATATCAATTCTAATTGTACTTCCGGTTGTTTGGATGAAGTTCAAATTAGATTTTATTCTCAGGTGGAGCACTGCACTATGTTTTATAAAATGTTAGTCGCATTTTGCAAAATCAAATTATCAACTTTGTTATTTAGATTAGATGGCATTGTCTTCTTGTCGTTGCTCATAAATCAAATGTGTCTGACAATCTAAAACATAAATGGTCTTCATTAGGATAAATAAAGAAAAAATGCTACATTTAAGTGAATATGTGGATATCATCACAAAATGCCAACGAAAGAAGACAATATTCATTGAAAATGTACCAGATCGTTTTCAAGGAATTATTTAGGATTTAATTATATTATGATTAGGGTCGAAAATATTAGTTTATTTACCTTATATTGAGTTAGATAAGTCATAGCAAGATCTAGCAATAGCATAGCAAAAAAATATTCAGAAAAATTTGGCATCAGTCATATACGCCTGTGCATGAACAGTACATGATAAAATAAACGTACGCATACACTTCCAGACTCGTTGATTGGGTGACGCGTGATAAGTTGGTTACGTAATACGGTGACCAGTAATAGTGTTTGGTTTAGCCATACAATAAAAGATTTGGTCTTTCCGAACATAGTATGGCTGCTCGTTATGTTATTTGTTTAGGGTGAAGGCGTTTATACATCACATATAAATATTGATCAACATTGGGATTTGGTATCATCGCTTATTTGTATCAAGTAACGATTTTAAATCAGAATTTTGAATTTTGCTATTGAAGCTAGATAGGTATTTTCATGCATTTAGTTGTGAAGATAGAAGCCAAAAAATTTAACAGAAGTTGAAAAGGCATTGCGTTTTATCAAGCATTTTAACAGCGTCCTAGAGGACCCTTGTGAAATGACAAACTTTCGGTATCTTGTGTGAGGAATGTTTGCACATTTGATGAAAAATTGTGTAGTAATTTAGTAAACATTAAAATTACAGGCGTACTATATATCCTATGTCGGGGTTATCTAAGGTTGGAAGATTGAAGGTCCGCAAATTTTTTTGAAAAAATCTTGCGGGCCGCAGTTGAAAAAACCCAAAATTGATCCAAATACTGCTAGATTAGGTAATTTAAATATATCAAAGAATGATAATTTGCCGTTCTGATTGGCCTATTTTCATATTGCGTTTTTTTTTATTTATTTCAAGTAGTGTATATAAAGCAAAAAAATAACAAATCAATTTACTGTTCTTTGCTTTTGGTTGCTGCTTTAGATCTGCATTTCGCTACTGCTGTTACATGGCCCACATGCAAATGAAGGTAAGGTGTGTTTTTATTAAATAAACGCTCAAAACATCTCGCTCGTACGTGTCGTCCGTCTTGACACGTATCGGTAACGGCCTCTTGAACCTATCACATGACGCACGCCTTGATGATCGTAGATACAACCTTGATATTGTGTGATTTTACCAAATATCATTCTCGACATCGGTTTTGGGAAAATGGTTTAAATCTCGGAATAGCTGAAAAACTCAAAAATGTTCTGCAAATACATACAAATATCTTTATGCTAAAATTGTTCTGCGGTCCGCACGAAATGTATCCGCGGGCCGTATGCGGCCTGCGTGCCAGGATTTGGGCCACCCTGTCCTATGTAATAACATGATTGAATAAATAATAAATTAAATATAAAACGTACTTAACATCTGATCATATTTTGCAAACGTTTCGGTGCGACTTTTCACACGATGCATCGTCGCCATGCCTATGTAATGACAATTGCTCGTTTTTCATGAATGGAAATATTTATATGGGTTTGCGCCATAGCTAAATGTTAAGACAGAGTGTATCTGCTAAGGTTACTTTGAACATTAATGCCAATTTATGTATGTGTGACTCCGCCATGAAAAATATAAACGGGATAACTTGTACTTGAGTTGCAGTTAGGCATACAATTTTTTGGATACTCACGTAGTATGTATACCAAGTTAGAGTTTGGCGATAAATATATTCCGATGTTCCTCATTTTAGTTATATTACGAGTTCGGGCCAGACAAGTGAATATCCCCTTGTCATAGGTTTCATATGGTTTCAGTAACTTAACACAACTTGATGTAAAGTAGGTGAACAAAGTTAGTTACCCTCATATTGGTACACATCATTCTGGAGCGCCCAATTTTTATTTACATATTTGTTTGTCATTTCGTACTCCTCGACATGATTTCAAACAAAGGAACTTATCATACGCATGAAGAGTTGATGTTCTATGCAATTATTTCTTCTGCTGATATGTATTTTATTAATACAATGAGATGTTAGTACCAATATCATATTTTTATAATAATCTCGCAGTCTTTGTTTGTTCTTGATTAGACTATCACGCCATGTTTGTCAAACATTCAGGTTACTCGCGGACAAAACCACAGTAACCTCAACGATTTTGTCTAAAGTCCAGAACATTCGCTAATTACCATTTGCTTGTTCCTTTATAAAATAGCTTCATGTGTACTGGGTCATTGAAAAGGTGGAATATTTGGCTGGCTTTATCCGAGTATTTTAATATTATTTTTGTGATTATTAATTAACAATTTTTGACGAACAATTTATTCCCGTTTTTGAATGATTTATGATAAAATTTGGAGCAATATATTTGTATGAAATATATATCTCAAAATGTGAATCGATTTGAATTGCCTATGCGGGGATTAAAATTGCAATTATGGAGTGAAAAGACCAATGTTATTCCATATCCACATACGATACACATACATTTCAAATCATGTTTTGGGCAGTATGCTGTAAACGTGATTACCTAATAGTCTTTTGATTTTTTTTTGACTACCGAAACTGTCCTTCGAGTTACAACCCGGTACTTCCCCGAATATTGCCCTAGGTGTAGCATTGGTAATGCGTCGGTGTCAAATCAGGTCTTATGTATATGGGGTATTGGGACCCTAGATTTATATCGAGATATATATTCATGCAAGAGCATGAATATATATTGAATGATGTAAATTGTAAAATACAGAGAGCATTAGTTGTAACTAAACACTTATTATGCTAGTCATGTTCATGCAGTGAAGATGTGTCAAATTTTACGGGTGCTCCCGTAGTATTTTTACCGGGGAATTTTCCCATAGGATACTTTGCCTTACTGATCCCCGCATTGGTACGAATACTTCTGGTGGGCCAATTATAGTTCAGTATTGAGAATTTGAAATTTAGGTTTTGATTTAGAAAGACAAATGACAAAGTAAAGTCCAGAAATTTTCAAATCCATCAGCACCCCCAATATAATTAATGCTCAATGAAAGGCGCAGTTGGGAACAATTCTATACCTGACCTGAGTTTTAAATTATACACTTTCTTAACGTACATATCATAGAGATGTATTACAACGTGTACGAAACGTTTGATGTTTTAGTTCATTATTTTATTGATTTATTTCAATTGATTACTTTTTTTCCTTTTTATTGCAGATTTTGAAAACATCATATAAAAGTGTTATTTAGTTATTTAGAAAAAAATGCCGTTTTTGAAACGCTCAAAAGTTCAAAACGTATTCAGCTGGGAAGAGTTGATGACAATTTTCATTCCTTCACAATGCGGCCGTATCATTCATCTCCAGCATGCCCCGCCACCAAATGGGTTGGAAAAATTAAAATCGGTTATTAGTGAATCAAAATTAGAGCAAATAATTTTAATTGGGTGCTTTTCGATGGCCAAGGACACGAGTGAAGTACTTGAAGTACTAAGAAGAAATAAAGTTTCTAAGGTAATGTTTTTTTTATATTTCTGATAATATTCTGATGTTTTTTACATCATATTTTCAAATAAATAAATGCAATCCGCGGTTTAGTTCATTTCGAGTAAATCTCATCTCCCGCAAGAATTTAATGGCAATATGGAAACATAATTGAATTTTGTATTGGGCCACGCTGTCATAAGCTGTAAAACCGTGCTAATAATATATAACTGAATGTTTTTCAAAACTCAATGTATCAAGTCTTAGTTTCTTCTTGAGTGAATACGCAATGAATTTTGGTTCAGAAAATTCATCTAAATTTGCACTGGAACAAGTACGACGATGAATGTATTTTAGTCCTGATTGAACTCATGTATAGCGGTATCGTGCGTTCGCTTGTATTCCCCGACGACATGGATGCCGTGAACGCCGAAAGGTTGTTAGAAGTAATTAATAAAACTGAAGACGTAAGTCGATTAAACTAATACAATTTTAAGTAATAATAAATTTTTCAAATAGTTCGCTCAAGTAGTAGTTACAATCTGTTTGCTTCTTTGACCTACCAATAATATTTAATACTATTTTCGCAAGATACCACTGATGCCCCAAAAATCACCTGTTTTACGGACACTATGTCTATGACACGTGGATTGAAGCAGTCTGCGCCACAGCTGTCGTGAAAATAGCACTAGGATTCTTTAATAAGCGAAAGTACTTGAGGGATCGAAAAAATTTTATCACTCAAAAGACACCCAAACAAGGCTATTTTTAATATGATATATTTCTATTAGTTGTAGATCTGCTTTTATTGTTAAGCAAGATCACCCAAGATAACATTTTGGCAAATTAGCAAACAAACCGAGAATCGAATTTAATTTCTAATTTTGTCATTCCAAGAAGCGTTGTTTCCCAATTTTCTTCAAAACCGTCAACTGAAACTCCAAATGCTGATCTTTACAATTTCATTTTTTAGTTGGAATTGCAAACACTAAACTTAAGTGGCGCGGTTTTGAATGAACATTCGCTAGAATACATTGCAGAAATTTTGAGGAAAAGAAAAATAGAGAAGCACTTTAATATGTCGAACTGCAAAAGAACGGAGGAAGCATCACTCACTGAAGAAAATTATAAAACTCTGAAAAAAGCAGCAGAAAAAGGAAATAAATGGGTAAGCAAAACGTATCCTATATTTTGCGATTTGTTACAATTAGTCACTAGCAAGGTGGAAACAATTTTATGTACTGGTGTAGTATGTGATCTATGAATGTTTCTGGTGTAGCTTGTGAACTAAATTCAGTGATAATCCATAGTAAGATAATCAACGCCTAAAATGTCACACGATTGTACTTTAACGTGACTTACGGTTATTTTGAAATATATACCAACGATAGTTCATGATTTAAACGCTTTTTGCCGCGCACTCGTCAAAACGATGTGATTAGAACAACAGAATTTTTCTCGTAGATGTTGGATATTTGTAAGATAACAATACCAAAGTGTTTTCTATTTTATTATTTACATTGTCGAGCAATTTGCTGAAACTAATAAATGCGTACAATGTTAAACGCCGGTCTTCAATCCAGCAGTTGGGTTTTAAATGTCTAGTGAATAATGCCTGTTGTCTATTTTATACGTTGCTCACAAACCGCCATTTAAAATGAAATATTACGTATATGTTTTATGTTTCAGTATAAGAGAAATTTGCAAATTGAATGGTTCTCGTTCGTTGGAGACATCGACGTGACAAAATGCAGTCACTTTGAGGTAAGTAACTGAAGTAGCTAGAGGTATATCCTCGCCTCGATGAGATCGCTTTGCTTTATTCTGACTGTTAGATATTAAAACAATATGGATAGTTCGAAATGGAAAAAAAAGACTTTATATAATTGCAAAACTGAAACCTCTGTCTGGTTCGAACGAATGCTCGCTTTAGTCTATGTTGGCTGTACTATAATTTTGCATGGCAAATAAAGGTATATTTTAGTTGTTAGAAATTTTCTGACTAAGCAAACAATCATTTCTGTTATGAAATCAAATACACCACGAGAGACGAAACCAGACTGTTATATTCTTCCAATTATTGACCGCTTTGAAATTCAGTAAACAGTGGCAAAATTAGTTAGCTTTCATTTTGTAAGTTTGAATCAAATTTAATTATTTTTGTGTTTTATTCCTCTGATTAATTCACAACCAAATAGTTTAAAAGTTCATCCATATGCGATTGGCTGACATACCAATGTTTTTTCCAGCTCATGTTCAAAAATACAATCGAACACCTTTTCAATAGCGAAACAAGGACAAAAACCAGTTTTACCCAAGAAGTCGTTAAGTTGAATGTAGGTATGGCCTGGCAACTAGTGAAACCTGGAAGCAAAAGGAGCCGAAATCGGCGTGCTGAAACTGAAAGTGTGAGTTATTTGCCCAAATATTTCTCTTAAATTAATGAAGAAAAATGTTATTACATTTTTATGACAAAAAACTCTGTCTGATATACGCAAATCTATCAACTTAGAACAAATTTACTATATTTTAAGACTGCAACTGCTGAAAAGCGTCAGAAAACTAATCTTGAAGTTGATGAAATTACCGATATGTTCGAAACACGGATTGGAGGTGGGTAAAATATGCTTATTAGACATAGTCTGTATTATCAGTGAATATTCAAATAAATAATTCAAATAAGGTTATAGCATTTTTTCACACTCCATTTTTTATTCACTTGGAATGCATTATTTTATTGAAACAAAAACCCAAAAATATCTCTTTGGAGAAAATATTTACATATGAAAATGTTGATCATCTAATATTATAAAAATAGAATTATAATTGCATAGGGTAAAAATAGTTACAATTTTTTCACATTGCATTTTTTTTCAATTGAAACTCCATATTCTATTCTAAACAGAGCAGGAAAAATACATTTTTGAATAAAATCGCATTATTTGTTTATATATCATCATTTATCATATAAACCTTTAATTGCAAAATGAAAACATATGATATATTATATTTTATAGTCGGCGCTAACCCTCTGGAGAACAAGGCAGACAAAGAAATTGATGGAGTTGCAGAAAACAGTGAGTAGTAATTTCAACTCATATTAGATTTAAATTTACTACATATATACCATTATATCCAAGGGCTATTCTTTACTGACCTAAAATTTCGAAATATTATAAACTTGCATTAATTCTTTACACCTTCCCCAATGAACGTCGGTCTGCACATACCAGTATCCACTGGTAAGTAATGAGCTACTACAGTTCGGTAGAAGCGGAATCTTTCTGGCTCTACATTGCCTGCCCAGTTTATTGGGGCACAGTTTGGTCTGATGCGTAGATTATGTTATAGGCCGCCATGTGATATGGATGAAATAGAATCGTTCTGAGTTTATTGAAAATTGTTTGTGTTTTTAAACAAGGCTCTTTACAAGCATGCGTTTGGTACCATATTAATCCTCCAAAATCTAATATTGGGATGGCCTTTGTGTGACTGGGACTCGGGACGAGAAAATGAACAAACATACTTAGGCCGCAGCGTTGGGTCTCACAAAACCATTGCGTCCAGGGCCCCACTTAAATTATTGTAGTCATAAAATTACCTATTTACCAATCTAACCCATATTACAATTCTTTTTCGATCTTTTAAGATATGTTGCACGCGAAGATCGTGGGGGTCAATGTTATTTTTCAAACAATAAGTAAATGTCGACAAGATTTGTTTGATGTTTGGGGCTGTTTTGCAGCTTCGAGATCTAGGATTGATTGAACATTCCATTACGATATAAAATATAGCAGTTTACCGCTTTGATTCCGACTACAAGAGCAAGTTTTTAATCTAATAAAATAGAAACGTTCAATAATATGTTTTACCTCAGACCCTCCTCATCCCCGTTGCTTTGAACGTCCACCAAACACTTCTTCGGGAACTCAACCAACGCCGTCTCAAGAAGCAATACCACAAACAGCTGAAAACCACCTAAATCGTTTTTCGGGTAAGTCTGAAAAATAAAATACATTTATTTCCATTTTTCTACCTTTTACCAATTCTGCTACGTTGCTCATAATTCAAAGTACCTAATCAATGTTACCGATGAAAAATTCTGCTAGTATGTAGTATAGTGTAAAATAGGATAAGCATGTACTCGTTAGCAGGGGCGAGCCTGCTAACATACAGAAACGACAAATTTAAGGAGTTAAATTTAAGGATTTAAAAATGTCAAATAAGATAAAAAAATATTTTACGCAATTTTGGCTATTTTGCAAAAGAGAAATAAAAAAAAAAACAGACACTGCAGAAAAGTAAACTATAAGTTGACTATCGATTGCATAAATATCCGTATTTTGGTGTCAGTGAAGATGAGATCGTTCGCTTAAAATTCGGACGGTTAATTCACAAACGGTGATAGGGAAGATCATAGCCGATGCATTCTACGGGAATACAATTATGGCCTAACCTGGTACACATACTACATTCCGGTGTCCGCCATCTTGGTTCGCATACTACAGAAGTACCCATTATGATGGCTAACTTTCTGGACCTTTCCCCGAGCATCGTTTTCCTTGTTTACTTCGTGACATTGGCCAATCAGCAAGATGCAAAAAGTGACGTAACAATGCCCCCTTTTCGCATCTGCTCAGACACTTTTCTCACTCAGACAGATTTTCAAGTGTGGTTGTAAACATTACCTCGTTTTCGCGTTTTTGAACTCTATTCGTTAGTTTTCAGTTGTGTTTCGGAAACTTGAATATAAATCAGATAATTCAATGATCACTCTGTCTTCCTAGACTAGCCTGAAATTCTTTACCGGTACTTTTAAAAAATATATTGTTGTATGCGATGAATCATAATGATGGTTTGTAACACATACCCCATTTTACAGGCGCCAACTCGCAGAAGCACTCTTAAAATAGCCCCGAAAATGTTGCAATGGTAAATTATAGGAAGAATTATCCGGGGGTCAAAGGTCGGGGAAAGGTCCATTATATATTAAGAATATTCGGTATTCGATAGAAATATTATTCAGATCGATAAAATATTTGTTTTAGCCCACCTCTAGAGTTCTGTAATCACGCAAGTATTCCAGTGAAACGCCCGGTCCTTGTAACACTGCTGCAACGCATCTCATTAGGACCTTTATTAAATTTAGTAAATTGCACTCAATGAAATGCGTGGAACTGTCGACTATTTCACATCTCAAGCACCAAAACGATAATATTTTAGTTTCTGAAAATCCAATTCTAATAAGTGTTTCGACTTCATTAATGAAAAACAACGCTACGATATAGTAGTGGGCGGTGATGTCTGCCGTCAAATAATTCTCGGCTTTACATGAAATTCATAACGGGAAAAGATACGTCAATCGGTTATACATGTTCGAAACAATTTTACACCTAATATATTATTCAGAGTTATTAGTTAATTGTTGTAATGAGATACATTTTGTTTGCTTCTTTCGGCAATACCACTGTTGAGTTAATTTGGCAACGTGATGAACATTAAAATATTTCTTCGTTCATAACGTGTAAAAATAATAATGGCGTAACGTAGACGGCGGCTATACGGCATTGGTGGTGCATTTGAAGACCACGTATTACCCTTGCGGACACGCATCTTTTTACAAAGATGTGAGGTTCTACGATAGTGCTGCCGTGTACATTATTGTAAACAACAGTTATCACAGAAGCATATTAACCATTTTCCGAATAATGATAGTTTTGTTAGTAGGAAACAATATATGTTTAAATATAGACGAAATTGTTGGGGAGGGGGACCGCCTCGCTCCTCGCACCAAAGGGTGTCCTTCCCTGCTCGTAAGCAGCATAGTAAGCTACATAAATGAAAACAAATTTTTTTTATAGTAATTTCTGTTTCAAGGTCTAGTGCTATTATCGTAAAATCTCAATCTTACAATTCTTTTGCTAGAATCTCAACGATCAGTAGTGTACATCCAGAATTTCAATGCAAATAACGTGAACACCGGACACGGTAAGTTCCAATCATTTCTTGTGAATATTTTTGATGTCTCAAATGTTACAGTAGTCGATATTTACAAGGCTTAATTCAAACTTTGTCTTATCATATCTCTGGGAAAATGGGTGATGCTATTGATGCTTCATCGAAAATGAATATTAGCATTATAGCAGATCAACCAAGTAAAACGAAATTCGCCCACGGCCCTCATACTTCAGGCAAATTAGACTGAAGGACAAAAAAGACTGATTGGATATACAGTGATTTAATTACGTTAGTTTTATTATTATTATTAAACATGGCGTGTGAAATACCGCATGTGAACGAGGTATTATCAAAACAGAGGTATGTTTTATGGAAGAGCAAGGGACCACGAATGTTAGGAGTTATTAAAAGGGGGTCACAGATCCTTAAAGTTCGAGAACCACTGGTTTATGCATTTCATTTATTTTTTTCATATCAGTTATTCTTTTCTTCTCAGCATTTCTTTTCATAAACGATCTTTTTATATCATATGTGTAATGTGCAAATATTATAGTTTGCTCAAATTTTTTCTATTTTTCAGTCTGTGGTGGTGGAGGAATAAATGTCGGTGATTCGCCACGAGGCCAAACAGCACCAAGAACGTCAGGTACATCTCGTCTGTGCAGTTTCAATACTTCACTTCATACTGCAGTTTTTATTGATTAGATTAGACATGATAAAATTTTTACTATAACACTTCGTCGGGTCACATAATTGATTTGTGGCCTGGGATGATTAATTTCACTAAGCACCTAAAACTTGTTAATGAACAATGTTCAATGAATCTTTCTCGGGCTTCATCCAGAAAATAAACGGCTTATCTTCTTGTTAATTTTCAACATAAAAAAATCGCAGATTTGCTATTGGAATATTGTTTGTCCATGAGTAAACCATGTCCATGAAAATGTAATATATATGTAGGTCAATAAAAAAATACTTGACTTGAATAATTCAATACAAATAGGTGAGATACCGCTTTGATTTCACAGCATAGAAATTACTCTTTTGATATCTTGCTTTCTCAAGCAAATGTCGGTTATCGAACAGCCTTTAAAAGTTTGGGATCTTTGGGAAGGGGGAAAATTTGTCCAAATTTCCTCAATTTTAAGCTACGTCATATGGTGTCGTCTGTATCATTAGTATTAGTTTTTGTACTTTATGACATAAAAAAATTGTAGATTGCTTGGGTTCTTCCCCGGCAATTTCTTGTATATTTTATGTTTTTTAAACTATATAAACTTTTTCTATTTTTTAGTTTCTGATGGCAGAACATCTGAAAATGAATCACGTCATGAGATCAGGTGAATAACTTTGAATATTAAATTGGCTTACTAAAGTATACATATTATCACGAAGACAAGCATAAATTGAATTTAAAAAGTAAATATAATTATCTGCAAGTTTAAAATGCTCATTAAACCAATATCAGCATCTGTCAGTAATCAAATCTTTCAATAAAATGACTTTGGTGCGATGGCCCAGCTGTATTCCACCGATTTGGCTTTGCAGATCAAACATTACAGGTTTAAATTTTATGCCCACCATCTCACCAAAGGTGTACTAAGTTGAGTAAGCAATGCCAAACCGGGAATTTTTTTTATTCAAATAATAATAATAATATAAGTGTTGTTCGGAAAAAGGCGTTAAAATGCGTCGTATACCCGGTATAGCTTATAAGCCATTCATTTGCAAAAATACAGACACTGATTATAAAAAAATTGCCATTATTTAAATTTTCTTTTCAATCCCTATGCTTAAGTTTGCAAAAATGCTCCAAAACTTTATTTGAAACACTATAGATATCGCGAAGTTTTTTGGGATTAAAATAAACATAAATAGGAAAAAATTCAAAATCCTATTAAAATATTTTATTGAGTGTTTTAAACTAAGGCAATACTAATTGCACCCTATTCGTTTATAGGTCTCCACAAAGCGACACCGACAATGACCTGTTATAACACAGCGCTCAAAACAAACAAAGAATTGACAAGAAACTTTGTTTGGTAATGATACCAATGACTTAACTTTAACACGTGCCACTGTGTGGTATTTTTCAAATAAAACAATACTTGAACAAACACACTCAAATTAGCTGCTCCAAATTATTTCTTCTAAAATCGTTTTCACAATATTTGGTCTTGAGAAACCTGGAAAATCAACCAACGGTTCTAATAAATAACCTTTAGTTCAATCATTTGTGTTTTTATATGTGGACGTAATAATTTTCCTTCTAATTTAAAGTCCTTTCAAATTTCTTCTAGTAAGAAAAAGAGATTAATAAAAATTATCCAAACAGCAATCCAATAATCGCTGGTTTATTGATTAGTGATTATATTTATTGTACTTAAAAATGATAGTTTTTGTTTCAATTTAGTGTCTTTTCAGTATGAAAACTAGTAAATAAAATTTATTTTAACAGTAGTGCAATAACCTTTTGTTATTGATTGTTGTTTTATACTTATAACTGAATATTTTATTTCCATTTAATCTCTTTCCAGTGAGAAAACAAGTAAAATGGAAACTTTCCAAACCGTTGTGCAATAAACTTTAGTTTAATGATTGGTGTTTCCTATTTATTTTATTTAGGGTGATTTTCGTTTCGATTTTCATTTTTTTTCGATTTTTTTTTTTTTTTTTCAAATGTCTTTCCTGTGAAAAGTGCGACTAATAGTGCAATAATACATAGGTTCTCAAAGTGCTCCGTGCGGAGCCCCAGGGCTCCGCGAGAGAAACACAGGGGCCCCGCGAGCTATTCGATTACTCTTCAAAATACTGACTCAAAATTTTGTAACTGTTCAAAGAAGCAATAACAGCTTTGATAAAATCTGACAACGCAATAGCCTCGAAATATAGTAAAGAGGCGAAATTAAATAATGACATTATTTATAAGCAGGAGCGCAGCCAGGCTTTTTAAGAGGGAGGTGGTGCAAAATTGGTTCCGCGCAACATTCTTCGCGATTAAAAAAACGGTTAACGAGATTTCTGTTGCGTGAAATATTCAATCCATGACCGATGCGAGCATTTAACGTGTCTCGTCGTTATAATGTAATTGTGCTCATCGTTACTCACGTTTGGTTCGAGAATATTTTTAGGATTACTAAAATGAAAGATTACTATTCTAAAATAACATAAAATATGTGATAAACTGCCAACTATAAATAAATAGGAGTCGTATTTTTGCGATTTTGGGATTTGGCATACTTGATTTGTTCTTTCGCACTTGAGATTATTTTTAAGCAAGATATCGCCATTTTAAAAATCACAATTTCTGGGCAAAATACGAACAATTGAAATTTATTTTGTTGCATTCGGCTCCGTCGGTAGTTTCAGAATGAAAAAAGGTACATCGCGGATCACGCGCACAATTGATTGCGTGCGGCTCCGTCGGTAGTTTGAGAATAGAAAAAAAAGGTACATCGCGAGGACAATTGACTGTCTTTCGATTTCGCAGTTACTACGATGAAAACCTAACATAACACCAAATTTTGTGATTTGCAATGTCTATAAAAGCGTTTTCAATCTGAGGTGAGTCTGCTGAAAACCAAACGTGTGATCTTCCCTTTTAAGTTTCAGTTTTAATATTTTAGAATGCCGTTTTTTAATCAAGAAATTTGAGTTGCGGATTTACCTCTTTATTAATTATTATTTTTAGCATTTCATCGCCGATGACTATAATATGATAACATAATTTTCACATTGAACTCATAATTCCCCACGAGAACAAAAAAGCAATTAACGTCGTCATTGTGTAACAATACATGTATATGCCGAGGAAAATTTTTGATTTGGGCAGAATAAACACTGGCGTAAAGATGTTTAAAGGTTCAAAAACACGCCATGCTGACGAAAAAAATCGGCGATTGTAACAAAATGAAATTGCACCCGTTATTAGCGGCCTTTTAAGTCTTCCAAAAATGTCAACAGGGAAAAGATTCGACCCCTATTTTATTAATATGTTTGTCAAGTGTCAAATTTACAGTTTAGTATAAATATATATTTTATGTTTGAAATTTAGATTTATTTATGGCTTGTGTTGACCCTATTAACAAAGGTTCAGCATTTAAAATAAGTAAAGTAAAGTACTTGCTCAGGAATATTAATATGAAAGTAACAAATTAACAATTATTTTGGGGCTCCGGGAATAATATTCAACCTTTTAAGAGCTCCGCAAAACCAACAGTTTGAGAATAATAAACTTTAGTTGGTTGGTGTATTTAATCTTAGAAGTGATAATTTTCGTTTCGTTAATTGCCTTTTTAAATGTCTTTTCAGTGATAAAAAAACGAACGAAATGAAAATCATGTAAAAAGCAATGCAATGATTTCTCCGAAAAAAATCTAGAAAATAGTAAAATAAGAAGTATTTTTCGAGACAAAATCCGCCAGGTACAAATCTAATAAAATTAGACTACCGTATTTTCGCACCATATGGCGCTTCGCGTTTTAGTACGCACCGTCTATAAATTGCAATAGTCCATATTTTCTGGTTAATTAGGAGTGTAGACAATTTATCATATAGCACTACATGATCCACACTTCAGGCGCACGATCGAATTTGAGGGGGTAAAGTCTGTAAAATAGGGTAATCCAAGGGTGTACAACATAATATAGTTCTGGCCAGCAACTTTAACCACTAGTCAATCATTATTTATTTCTCGTTTTCTCAAATTCGACATGATATCACTCAGAGTGAAATAAATATTTTAAAAGCATTTAGTCAAGTTCTTTTATATAGTACCTATGCATTTGTTAAAACGTATACATCACGTTTACAATAAATTCACAGTGAAGCAAACTTGATTTTCATAGCTTTGCAAAAGTGGGTGTTTTTTCTTTGTTCGAACAGTTCTCTAGAAAGAATAAATTGAATATTCACGTGTTCAATACAAGGTCGTAGCGTCACAAATAGAAATGTATCAAGTCGACTAAGATCAATGGAGCAGTATAATTGTATCCATTGTCATTTCAACATATCACTATTGCCTACTAACGGTCACAAATATTGCCAAAAGTTTTGTTACAAAGATGACGCACATTCGACGATTTCTGTCTCGAATATAACATTGAAAATGTTATACAGATGACACAAATTCGATAAGAGGTTTAACTTTAACATAAATAAAACTACCATTTTCAACCTACAGAACATAAAACTCCACGTTTCGATAATACGATTGATGGTAGCTTGCCAGGTAATTATCTAATACAGCGGTTCCCAACCTTTTTTGCGTCGAGACCCCCATGGATATTTTCCAACGTGCCGCGACACCTTTCACGATATATGCTGATTTATAATTGAAATTCGTAGGTCCTACAAAAGAAAGTATATAAGGCTATAATGTGTTTTCTCTGAAATAGTTATTCTTAATGAAAAATATAATACCTATCAATTATTTTATTATTTGTTTACCCCAAAAGTTAAATTTTCTGTAATTGTCTTTGAGTAAACTATCATTACTATTTTTTGAGTACCGTATTTTCCGAGTATTAGGCTGATTGTCAAGACCCGATTTACTTGGGTTGAGTTGATTAGCTTTCGACCAGAAAATATCGGGAGTCAAAAAACGGTCTGGGCGACCGGAAAATCTGCCTTCTGTAAACTTAGAATTTTTAAATTAAAAATTTAATTGACATTAGAAGATGAACAAGACGGTCCTAACAGCTTCAAAATTCACATGCGCAATATTTAAAAAAAAAATAAAATACTATCTAGAAGAAATTTTCAAGGTGCTAGCTACACAAATTTTCAGTCGCGACCGCAAAGTTTGTTATCCATTAATAGTCCAACAAACAACTGGTAAAACTAACTAGACACTGATGGAAATGCTTCCTAGCCGGCTAAAAATTCCACCAAAGAGAGGAATTTTGTTATTTTAAGAGAGGATTTTTTATATACCGTAAGTAATTTGAATTGAGAACATATTGTGCAGCACAATTATTAAGTGGGTTTTTATAATTACATTATCAAACGGTCCCTTGAATACTGAATAAATAAAATAGTTTTATTTATAGAGAATAAAGACCACCTCCCTCCATTTACATAACACAATTCGCGAAATAGTATGTAAATCACATCGTGAACAAAATGTTTTCGAATATGAACAAATACAAGGTGAGTGTCGCGCGCAAAAAGACCGAAAAATTCGATTAAATATTGAATTTATGTATGTTGATACTATGTTTATTGGCTATTTTCAGTTTCAAGAATTGCTACCATATTCATACCCAATGAGCATATATACAATGAGTGGAAACTACCAAATATTTGCTCATTATGCCATTGAACCCTGCATTTTTACGTCGTCC